ATAAACTTTTGCATAACTTCCAAAACTTCTTGACAATATCAGCAAGAATAATATTTGGAAGGGCCGATGGTCGTCTTCGTCAGGCCCCAACCTCTAGAGTCAGTCGAGTTGTCGGTGCATCTGGGGGCATAGTGTTCAAGGGTGCGGCTAGTCTGCACGGTTGGACCATTTTCGAGCGCTCCGACGTGATTTTCGACGACTTAGGGACGACTCCCCTCCTACCTCGGCGTGGATAGTTTTTCCGGAGTCCAGATCTGAACCGAGAGCAGACTCTTCTTCAGATCCATCTAGGGGGGGCATGAGTAGCCGCCGTTTTTGGGCTTGAAGTTTCGATTTGTGGCTTTGTTGGATCTCTATGCTAGTGGTAGTGACTCGTGTGCGGTCTTTGGGTCTGTTAGGTGTAGGGGAGGTGTTAGTTTATTTGTACATTAGGTGTGTGTTTTTTGTTCTTTTCTTGTTTTTCGTTTGTCAATCCAGCTTGTCTGGTTGTTCTCCTATATAGAGTTTTCATCTCTTTTACGGAGTTTTGTTTTGGTGTTGCAGTTGCCTCCTTCATGGAGTTGTAGCTCTTGGATTTCTCTGGAATTAAAAGAGGATAGGTCCAGTTGTCTGGTTCCTTGGTGTCAATTGACATTCCTGTTGCACTGTTTTTGAGTTTTCTATTTATTTAAGTGTTAGCTGTTTGAAAAAAGAAAAGTAATATAATAAATATGAGAATTTTAGTAACATTTTATCTACGAGACATCTATCATACGGTAGGGCAAAGCTAGTTTCAATAATGGGTAGTGAAGTCATAGAAGGTGCCAATCCATATGGTATGTACCTTCATTTCTTAAGTATGATATGCTATCGGTCATTTAAATGTGCTCAAGGTTGAATCTGAAATGCATTTCTACAGCTTCTTAAAGGGATAAAGAAAGTGATTGCTTTGGAGAACTTAAAGCTAAACTATATTTATTCAGATCAACTTAATGATGAAGTGGTAAATATATCGTGCAGGGTGAATGACATAAGGAGACCTACAATGTGTAATGTTATATCGATGCAGACTATGCGGGTTGCAGGGACGAGCGACAATCAATTTCATGATAGTGCTCTTTATTGCACGAACTCTAGACTCATGGAGAAGTAAAAAACAGACGGTAGGAATCTAGACTCATGGAGGAGTACGAAATAGATGGGACTTTGCAGTACGATACTAATACATCCATCCATGGTTGAATCGTTGTCATAAGTGTGGATATATCATCTCTCAAAGGAAATTGGGTATGAGCACATTTTACCAATAAAACTTAGGTGTGATAATAAAGCTTCTTTTCGCAATGTTGCCAATCCAATATTGACCATTTTATTCGAGACGAAATTGAGGAAGGGTTCATTTCTAGAGAATATATTAAATTAAAAGCTTAACTAGGAGACAATCCCGAAGAATTTAAATGGTGTATGACTTGATAACAATCTTCTAGTCTCGATGAATGTAAACAGTGTACGATTTGGTATCATTTTTTGAAAAGTTGCGCGTAATCAATATATATGCTCCACCTTGAGAAAGTGGCCTGTTATATTGGCCCTTTCAGCCAACACAATGAGGGGAGAAACTGCTTGAGTTGTCGTGCTCTAATCCGTCTAAGGTCTTATGGAGTACTGACATGCAAAAATGACTTGGTCATAAAATAAAAGATCCAAGATTTGTCTGGCATGTGAGTCGAAAAATCTTGAGGATTGCATTAATTCTATTACAATTAAATCCCGATACCACAACCACAGGATGGTGCGGTTCAAATGAAGCTTAAATAAATTTTGGAGATAGCAATAGCAATCAATTAGGAGCATTAATTTTTTTGCTTTATGTAGTTCTCACGTATATTATCAATAGATGGTGCCCAATGTTACATTCGACTAGGGTATACCATTTGACATAGATCAAGCTGCTAAACTATCATAGGCTTAAGCCTTTTGGTTATCTGGTATATGTAGTAGCCTTTTGGTTATCTGGTATATGTAGTAAATACATGTCTTGTGAGATGAATAATGACGCAAAATCTCACAAATGTGCCTTCATAGGATATTCTCATCGAAGCATAGGAGTATCTATTGTTTAATTTTGAAGATTAAAAAAAAGTTTGTTTGTAAATAACACATTTCCCTACGAAGTCGAGGGATCCATTAAGGATGAAAATGCAACACCAAATAAACCTGTATGGATGAAGGATTAAATTTTGTACCATTGATTCACACTTGAATTTTGTAGGCATGGGGCACCAAATCATTTTTGCTGATTACGTGGCTAAAGAGGATATGATGCTAAAAATCATGAGCAATGGTTAAGGCTATGAATTTGAAGTTGAATGCATTGGAGTATAATCATACGTTGGGAGTTATCTTTTCTCACAAGGTGAGTATGAGGTCTCGATCAGGGGTGGAACCGGACCGCAAAAGTTTTTTCAAGGATAGTTTCAGTTTGGTTTGTCCATAGAAATTTTGAAGAACTGTTAGGGAACAGAACCGCGTACATCCGATTCGGTTCTTACGGTTCTTACGATTCTTCTTTAACCAACTGGAAATTCCAAATATTATCAGTTATAACAAGCAACAATTAATCAATTACCAAACTACTAATCTGAAACAATATAAAAAAAATATCTGATACAATATACAATAGCATAGCGGCATAGCCAACACATGAAAATGACTCTCGAATTGACACCCACCAAATTTTCTTCCTTACTAAATTTGTTGATCCGCTGAAGCTTTTTGTTCTAGAAGTCATGAGAAATGGGTCCAGGCCAAATTGATGTGAGGCTCGCCCTCCCCGGATGACGCGTTGAGACTTGCGAGCGGCGGACTACGGGCATGAGGAAGGGGACACGTGTCAAATTGATGTTTGTCCCACCAGAAGGGGTGTGGGCAACCGGAGATTTGGAGTGCAGTCCATGGGGATGGACGGGACGTCGCGGACGACGAGAAGAAGACTTAATGGGAATAGGATATGCAGATGAAACGGCGAAAGGGAAGAATTTGTCAATTTGGGGGTTTTTTCAATATTTTTTTATATCTTAGCAGTTTGATAAAATTTCGAGATCTGAATACTGAAGTCAAATATTAGAAAGTAAAATAAATCCTCGACAGGATTTGGAAGGGACAAATAATTTGAGCTATTGGGTCTTCTTCTTCATAGTAATTGTTGGATTGGGCTTATGAAATGTATTTGCCATTGTCTAACATAACTACGATTATTCGGTTTTTTGACAGGTTTTGGAAGGAATACCGACAACCGAAATTGTAAATGTTGGCAAAATAACCGAACCAAAAATATCATGACACATCAACTATTAACCGAACTGAACCGGCTTATTTAGGTTCGGTTCGACTCGGTTTTACGGTTCCCGATTATAAAATCCCACCCCTAGTCTCGACCAAAAGGAGAGAAAGGTTTCTTCTAAAAAGAATTGAAAATCAACCAATGAGCAGAAGAAGTCGTTAATAGTCCAGGCTGGGTTCTCAGTTTCAACCTTGCGATGTAAAAAATATAATATTTGTAAAGGCGGGCTCTCGGTTTCAACCTTGCGATGTTAAAAATATAATTTTCGTAAGGGCTCAACCCTAGTTCTTAAGGAGAAACTCTCGTCGTAGTTTGGCGACCTATCTTCAATAGACAATAGGGGCCTTTAATCTTTCAATTTCACGAAAAAAATGTTAGCATGTTAGGCCGACTAATGTTGAAGAATCACCGGATGAATGCGAGCCTAGTTGCGTGTAGTGCCGCAGCAATAAAAGTCAAAGCGCCAAGACCCCTAACATTACGACACATCTCAGCCCTCAATCCAGAATAAAGCTGGTAAGTCACTAAAGAAAGTAGAAATTCGGTTAGTGATCCCTTAGAGGCACAAAGTAGCTCAACCAACGAGAGAGTAGAAAATATGCTCGACCAAAGAGAGGAAAGAAATAGACTGACGAATCCAATCCAGAGAAGCAACTATTTTCAGAAGCATTCTGGCCTAGAAGGACTTAAGACAAACTAGGGCGCCTGGCACATTATCCAGTATGGAGGAGTCACAGTTCTTCAAGGTATACGACGTTGAGTGATTAGAGACGTTTTTGTTCACACATAGAAGTAGGGAAGTCGTACCCTCGATCAACATTGTCCTCCCTTCTGCTTAAATTCGGAATGAGATCGGGATTCGAACTCCAAATACTAGCTTGGCTCATTATTACGGTGGAAGCTAGGTTACGATGAAACCTCAAAGTTGCTCTTATCCCCAAAGAGAAGGGCAAGGCAATGAGAGACTTATCCTCAAGTATGGAGCAAACGAGTGCCATAGAGCTATTACTTGGTTGGTAATAGCGTCTGGGTGGGGGAAGAGGGGTCCAGAGGGGGAACAATGGAGCAGGAACTGCTACATATGAAAAAACCCGCGATCTTTTTCTCACTATTAAACGAACCGCTTCTTCCATTAACTAATGTTATTCTTAGATCATGTTCTTGAGATTGAGAAAAAGATTGGTTAATCGGTAAAGATGCTGGGTGGGGGAAAAGGGGTCCAGAGGGGGAACCATGGAGCAGGAACTGCTACATATGAAAAAACCCGCGATCTTTTTCTCACTATTAAACGACCCCCTTCTTCCATTAACTGATGCTATTCTTAGATCATGTTCTTGAGATTGAGAAAAAGATTTGTTAATTGGTAAAGGTGCATGTTGTTAATTGGTAAAGATGCATGCACCTGATGCTCCGCCTATGAGAGAAACCCAAGTCCTAGTAGCCCCTAAATGGTGATCCAACAAAGAATACATCTTCAAACCAAGCCAATATCGGGGTTGCTTTATGATAACGAAACCAATCAACGTTAATATAATAGTAAGTCGAAGAGAGAATGCCTTATATTAGGAGTAAGTTTCCTAATACTAAATCGAAGAGAGAATGCCCTTATATTAGGAGTAATTTTCCACACTTGAGGACAAATCCAAATATTAGCTAGTTCTTTAGAGATGGACTGACGTGTCCCTTTTTTTGGTTCCACAGTCTTTCTTTCTCTTTGGATCATAAGCAAAAACGGTATGATGAATAACGAACTCACAATGAATAGAGAAGGTATAGTAACACCATGAATGACCCAATATCGAATACTCGTAATAATATCAACAAAAGAACGTTCTCGTGTGCTTCTAGACATGCTCAACTCCTAACGACCTTTAAACAAAAGGGTACATGTACCTGAAACCGACACAGATGGGTAGGTAGAGAATACCTAGGGGCGCAAGACAATCTCTTTAAGGAACTTGGCAAAATAGCCCCATAACTTCGCGAGAAAGGGTGCCTCCTCACAAAGGGTGTCGCAGTGACCAGGCCCGAGCGGCTGTTAACCAAAAACAAAGGTCTCCGCAAAGTCAATAAAATTGGCCAAAGGTGTGCGTTCATCAACCCATGCTAAAGTTTCAATCAATTCCTGCCAATACCCACGCCAGAGATTAAAGACAAAAATCCAGTAGCCAAAACAAGATGTCGAAATACGAACATCCATACCCAGATTGATAAACTGTTTAAACCAACAAGGTTATATCCTTTGACAAGTACAAAGAAAGAATGTCATATGGATAAAGTGGGTGTATAATATCAAGAAAAAACCAACAGAACAATGGAGAGATATAAGGTCAAACTGGTAATGAATGAGTAAACTATTTCGATGTATTTTCTCCAACAACATTGATCATAGTAAAAATGTTTATTGCTATCGCAAAGAGATACTTAGAAACTTACGTGAATAATTCATTCCTGCATGGATCAAACTAAAAAAGGAATTTGTGAAGCCCCATGAGGATATACAAAGGCTAGAGAAGGGACCATTTTATACCTACTCAAATTTTGTATGGATCAAATAAGTTTCTCGAGAATGGAAGTTACTCATCTAAAAAAAGAATATAATTTGGGATGGAACGATCCTCACAAGGTCATTGTTTGTTCACACAATACGAGGAATTCTTTGTAATGTTTGTTGATGTTAATGATGTATTTACCACAGATCCAGTCACCAATATATTATTAAATTGAAGGAGTTTGTCAATCAAACATTCATTGATATGTGTAAACATAAAAAAATTAAATACTTTATTAATTAATGCCTTTATTTATTTTTGGACATAACAAAATAAGTAGGTTATATAATTAATAAAATAATTATTTCTTTCCCACCAATTCAAACCTTAGGATAAGAAAATAGAATATACCAAATAATGAAGGACCAATTAAATCGGTGTCTTCTTCTCCACGACTCTCGTATACCTATAAATAGAAACTCTTGCAATGCAAAAATTACACCTCATAAATTATAATCTCAATTCAAGAGCTCTCAAGAACTCTCTTGAAGATTTGAAAAAGGTTTTGAAGATCCAAGGCATTAAAGTTGAAGATCAATGTTTAATCTAGAATCAAGTCACCTAACCTTCGAAATACGCTCAATGGAAAAGAAGGTCGATAAGAATAAAAAGAAGTGATGGTTCTTCTCCAATAAATAGTGAGGCGACATTCACTTCTTTCAAATCATTCCAAAAATATCAAAGGCGTTCAAACGACATTCAAGCCGCATTCGTCGAGAAGTTCAATAAATATAGTCTTTGATCCGAGAAAAAAACTATCAGACTCTCGAGTAAATGTTATTCAATTAAAAATACACATCCGAGGGAGATAGAACTGAGCCCTCCAAGAAATTTCTAATCACTCAAGCATCAAGAGATCCAATCATCAAATCCAACTTCGAAGAACCCAAATCTAAGAATCGAAGAATCAAAGGAGACACGGAGAAATTGTACCCGCAAAATCAAATGATCGAAATAAATCAAGTTGTATAAAAGTTTAATGTTCTTTATAAATTTGACACGCCCATGGGACTCGAAATTACAAACTTGGCATGCCTAATGGGACGGTTTTTACCTCTCATCTCCTCTCTTCAAATAAAGTTCGAAAGTTATTGAAGATGCATGAAGACCTCTTAGAAGATGTACAAGGGAACAAATAAGGATGATGTCTCCTCAAGCCACGAAGCCTTCATTCGAATGGAAGAAAAAAATAAAAGAGGCTCTACATGTCCTTCTCATAGGGGTAATTTACATGAACTATCTATAATGTACCTAGATACGAGCAAAAAACTGTCTAAATCCTCAATTTCTAATACTCCTTGATATGAGTCTAAATTATCGAAATGCTAAAAACACAAATTCAAATGCTCTTTCACAAGAACCTAAACTATCAATAAACCTCCTCAATATGAGCTTAAACTATCCAAAACTTCAATTCATCATACTCCTCGATACGAGTCTAAACTATCTACAATGCTCCTTGATACGAGCTTAAACTATCTACAATGCTACTTGATTTGAGATTAAACTATCTACAAATCTTCCTAAAACGAGCAAAAATGTCTACAAAATCAAGATTTCATTGACAAGAGAATAGTCAAATATGAAGCTCTTTGATACTAGTATAAAATGTATATAAAAATAAAGATCTTACTAACAAGAGAATAAAATGTCTAAAAAATCAAAGCTTCTTTGGTACGAGCATAAACTATCTACAAATTTGATGGCTCTTGATACGAGTATAAAAAGTCCATAAATCAAACAAAGAATTCTCCTAACACGAGTATAAACCGTCTTCACATAAGAAAATGAATTTTCTTTTTTACAAGAGTATAAGTTGTCTTCAAATCAAATGAAGACTCTTAGACATGAGAATAAAATGTCTACAAGTTAAATCAAGATCTCTTTGACATGAAAATAAAAGTCTTGCAAGTCAAATATGAAAAACTACTTCATACGAGTATAAACTATACACAAATCATGTCACATGGAAAACTCTTTGACACGAGAATAAACTATCTACAAATCAAGTCAAATGAAGAATTCTTTGATACGAATATAAATTATCTACAAATCAAGTGTAAAACTTCATTATACGAGTATAAACTATCGGCCAAACTAAATTAAGACTTCTTGATGCGAGTTTTAATATTAAATCCAAATTGAAGAACTCCTTGACATAGTTTAAACTATATGCATGTCCCCACCAAATTCAATATTTTGAGACTCACTCACTAAAAAGACATTTTTTCCCTAGACAAGTCTCAAAGGGGCATTTGTAAACATCAAAATTTTATTTTTTAACTAGTGTCTTTATTTATTTTTGGAGATAAATCTAAAATATATTAGATATATAGTTAATAGAACAATTATTTCTTGCCAACCAAATAAAATCTTAGGATAAATAAATAGATTATATCAAATCATGAAGGACCAAACAAATTGATGTCTCATTCTCCAAGACTCTCTGGTGTAGACAAGTTAGCTTGGTGGGCAAGCATTTATTATTATTATTATTATTATTATTATTATTATTAGCAGCTTGAAGAATAAGTTAGGTTTCAATATTGAAAGCCTTATATAAAGGACTATTATGCTTTATTGTTTGGTGGTGAATTTTGAATAAAATATGAATTGATATCGTATTTAGGTGTTCCTAAGATTGCGATTTTATTAGTATCGTCATACTCGTACGCTTCCCTATATCAGTTGTTATGAAAAGTCAACACGATTCAAGATGCCGCTGCGAATAGATGACATCGACGGGTTTGACGCCACCATTGAGCATCTGGGTCAACACCACGGGCTTCGGCCGCCAGATCAATCAATTGGATCGTCAGGTTGAGGATCTTTGACGGGGATCGAAGAAGTGTGTCTTAAGGATTCGCAAACAAACTGTCATGCCGGTAATCGAGGCGAGCGCGTGAGAGTTCACGGAGGACGTGGAGGCCGTGGTCAAGGCAGGGTGCCCCGCCGGAGATATTCACAACCACCGTCTGGTCGTGAACCCCTTCGTTGATTATTGACCTCCGCACATCGAGGCTGAGCCCTTTGCTGCATACGGCGACGTGATATACCGCGACGGGACCGATCTTCGCGGACGATGACGATCAACGTAGCGACGGGGGCTGGCGCAAGGAGGCAACCTTCGCTGGCGGCTATCGTCCCCGACGCGATTTGGGGTTTGCATGGGACGACGCGTACTCTGATGATGTACCGCATCGCGAGGTTAGCACCACCAGCGCGAAGAAGTTGCAGGCGAGTGGCAGCAGCAGCCGCGACTGGGTTCCTTCGCCCAATGGGTTGGACTTTGCACCCGGTTACCACCAGCACCGCGGCTGGACGCATTAGCGCGACAGACCGGGCTAGGCTTTGCAACCAGCGGGCGGCACCGCCGTGATTGGGTCAAGCAGGGCTATGGCTGAGGCTACGAGCAGCAGGGACGCGATTTTTGCCGTGTGTTGGAGGGCGGTGGAGTCGCGCGGGGACTTAGAGTTTCACGTGGAGATTCCGGAATTTGCCGAGATTGACGGAGAACAAGATCATGGGCCACTATACGATGGTCTACCAATTCTCGATGAAGAGACTCCGGCGCCCCAGGAAACCTTGTCCGAGGATTTGAGCTTAGGCACTACGTTATTTTGGTTATGGCAGGATCTGACGAAGGCTTATATGCTTGGGTTGTGGCTAACTGTGCCCTGGGGACTCTTGGAGCCATACCAACACAGACCACATGGATTATTGAGCTTGGTGGTGCTCAGCGATTTGGAGATGCTAACAAAGTTCACAATATCCCGCTCGACTGGGAAGTCAAAGTCTTCATCCTACAAAGTGCAGAGAATTTGGATGAAAGCTGATCTGATTGGTCGATCTCCATAATAGGTGACAACTCTTTAAAATTTAGACAACCACCTTTGTCGTATTTTAGCTGGTGTGCCTGTTCTAGGATGGCTTCTGCGAGAACTACTGAACTGCTTGGTCGACATTCAACCTTCGTGTTCGGTAGGAAAAACGACGGGGACTTACTATCTGGGTACGACTCTGCATGCCAGCCACAGGTTCCAAATCGGGGGAGAATGGTGTAGGCAAGTTAGCTTTGTGGGCAAGCATTTATTGTTATTATTTTATTATTATATTTATTAGCTTGGAGAATAAGTTAAGTTTTAATATTGAGAGTCTTATGTAAGAACTATTATGCTTAATTGTTTGGTGGTGGATTTTGAATAAAATATGAATGAATATCGTTATGTTCTTGGCAATTTCATTAATATCATCCAACATGTATGCTTTCTTACATCACTCCTTCTTCCATATCTATAAATAAGGGCTCTCATAGAGCCAAAAATCAGACCTCATAACTTAAAATCTCAAATTCAAGAGCTTTCAAGAATTCTCTTGAAGATTTGAAGACGTTCATGAAAATTCAAGGGCATTCAAGTTGAAAATCGACGTTCAGTACATAATCAGGTGTCATAGCTTACAAAGTAGGCTCAATGGAAAAGAAGGTCGAGAAGAAGAAAAAGAGGTGGCGGTTCTTCTCTAAAAAATAAAGAGGCAACATCCACTCTCTCAAATCATTCCAAGAATGACATTTAAAACTCCATTCAAGCCGCGTTCGTCGAGAAATTCAACCAACATAGCGTTTGATCCAGTTAAAAACAATCAAGCC